TGGATTTACTACTTTACAGTTGAGTCACTATAACATGTTTTTTTGAAATACTTTTGTTGTTGTTGTTTTGCTAACATAATTTCTTTCAAATGCGTTCTTACTTGTTATTTTTTTTAGTAAAAGCACCTCTACCATGTAATTCTTATTTGATGTGGTTTTTTAGACCTCGTTCATTTTAACAGTTCGAGTTTTCAGTTTTAAATTTCTACAGTTAAAAGCTCTCAGAAAATATCACATCTAACTTTTTTTACTACATATAAAAGCTCTCAGAAAATATCACATCTCAGCTCAAATTGAAAATTCGAATCCGCAAAGCGAACGAGGCCTACTCTCTTACTCATGTTAAAATAATTTTTTAAATATGAGTCTACTTAATTTTTTCTGTCTAATCCTACATACACGGTGTGCGGAAAATGTTACAAAACTAATTTATTGTAAAAGAGACACGATATTCCTACTTTGCAAGGAAAAAAAAAAGACATGGTGTTCCTACTAGTGTTGGAACTTCGGGCCGGCGGGCCGGCCTGAAGCCTAAATTTTTTGGGCTCGGCCGGGCTAGCCCAATTGCCGACCCGTCCAAGCTTTATTTTTAGGCTCAGGCTCGGGCAGCCCGAATTTAGAATTAACTCCGGAGCTCGCCGCCGTGTAGTCGCCGTTTACCGCCGTCTGCTGGAATTTTTTTTGAATTTTTCAAACCAAGCCCAAATTGCCCGACCTGAAGAATGCCCGAAAAAGGTCAAATTTTGACCGTTGGAGCCCGACCCGAATTGAAGATCGAAAACCCGAAATGCCCGAATGCCCGATTTACCCGTCTAACGGCTAGTGTTTTGAATTTCGGCCCGATTTTCGGCCCGAACCCGCCCGAAAACCCGAATGCCCGAATGGCCCGATTGCCCGAATTACCCGTCCAACATCTAGTTTTTTGAATTTCCGCCCGAACCCGACCCGCCGAATCAAAAGTAGCCGTTGCATCCCAATTTTTGTGAAAAAATATCAATTTTTTAACCCCAAAATTTCCCTATAAATACCCCTCATCCCGCACACATTTTTCTCACTCAAACTCTCTCAATCCCTCTCAATTTCTCTCAATCTCTCTCAATTTCTCTCAATCTCTCTCACAATTTTTCTAAAAACTATCACATTATCCTAAAGCTCTCTCTCTCTCTCTCTCAAATCACTCTTATATTTTTATAGTGGATCCTTTTAGTTATAGTGGTATTCTCGTTGATGCCCAACACAATGTAGAAGGAGGGCAATTTCCCACTAATGAGTTTGTTACGCATGAATCTACTAATCCGAGCCTTGGTAGACGTACTGGAGGTCGTGGTCGCAATAGTGGTGGGCGTGGAGAAGCGGCGAGTGCAAGTGTGACTGCGTCTGCGTCGACAAGTGTTGCAACCTCCAGGAGGAAATGCAAGCGTACCTCGAGAGTTTGGGATCACTTCGACATAATTGACGAGATATACAATGAAGGTAACACTAAACATATAGCTCAGTGTAAATATTGTTTATCTAAATTACAAGGTGACACTATTCATAGCACCACACACTTGATACGACACTCCGAAAAGTGTCTTCAAAAGCTTAGCCAATCCGGCGGACCCGAACTCTGCCAAACACAATTATCTTTTGATCGCGCAATCGGTGGTCTAACCACTTGGAAATACGATCCACAAGAAGATCGTATGAAAGTTGCGTGAATGATAGCTGCTTTAGATCAACCACTTAGTTTTGTAGAGCATCCTAATTGGCAACGATATATTAAGGTTGTACATAATCCTAATGCATAGTTCACTTCAAAAATTACTCTTAAGAAAGATTTATTAAAATTATTTAAAAAAGAAAAAGAAGCATTAATAAACCTTTTACACTCGACTAGCGAGTGTATTACGTTAACGGGAGATATTTGGTCTGCCGTTGCCAATAAAGATTATTTAGCTATAACCGGACATTACTTTAAAGGATTTGATTTAGATAAGAGAATATTAGGTTTTAAATGTGTTCTAGGATCACATAGCACGGATTTAATATATAACACAATTTTAAATGTAATTGATGAATTTAGATTAAGAGATAAAGTAATGGCTATAACATTAGATAATGCTAGTGCCAATACACAAGCAATTGAATTCTTTGAAAATGATTTAAGTCTATTCGGTGACGGTATTATTTTCCACCAACGTTGTGCATGTCACGTAATCAATTTAATAGTTAAATCCGGTTTTAAAAAAAATGAGTAATCACATTAAAAGAATTAGAGATAGTCTTGCATGGATTCAAGGTAGTAACCAAAGACAAGAAGATTGGTTTAGGCTCTTACAAGCATTAAATATACCTCCTAGAACATTAGCGTTAGATATGCCTATAAGATGGAACTCAACTTATGTTATGCTTCAACAATGTATCCCCTATAAGGATGCTATAACAAACTATATGTGTGCAAAATTAGGAGTAGGCCATATAGACGCATTTGATTGGTAAATTGCCGAAGTTTTGTATCAATTTTTAGGTAGGTTTCATGAAGTTACTCTAAAACTTAGTTGAACATACTACCCAACATCACCTTTAGCTTTAGGAGAACTTTTAAGAATTAGTATTTTATTTAGCGAATATAGGGAAAAACCAATCTTAGGAGTCCCTATTCATTCTATGGAAAAGAAATTTAAAAAATATTGGTCTAAGTTGCCTTTGTTATATGGTTTAGGTACAATTTTTGATCCTAGATTAAAATTAGACGGATTAGAAAGTGGTTTAGAAAACTTAGGTGAATTTTTAAGCATCACTTGTACGGATCAATTTTCAATAATAAAGGCGAAAATATATGAGATTAGGTTTAGAAGCACAAACTCTAGAGTACAAGAACCGCAACAACAAGATGAAAACCTGCATTCATTCTTGAATGTTTTCTGGCTAAAGAAGAAGAAAAAGACAACTCAAACAGAAGCTAGGAGTGGAAGTGGATCTTCATCAACAAGTGGCAGTGGTAGCGACAGCTTCAACGAGCTTATGGCGTACCTCAGTGAAGGTTTAGTGTTCGACAGTACTAGAGAATCATTTGACTTAGTTTAATGGTAGAGGGCATGGGCTTTAACTTGGCCAATCCTAACTCGATTGGCAATGGATATATTTTCAATCCCAGTGTCCACTATTTCATCCGAACAAGCCTTCAGTACGACAAGAAGAATACTTGAGGAACGCCGGAATGCATTGCAAAAGGACATTGTTGAAGTCTTAGTCTGCATTAAGGATTGGGATCGGGCCAATCAACGTCTACAGGATACAATTTCGCCGGCAAGCCAAGAATGGATCGATGAATTTAATCGATTAACATTTAATTTTGAAGACGATCCTTCAGCTTCAAATTAAATTGTAAATTTGTAATTTGTAAATATGTATTTACTTTTGACATTGTATTTGTAATTGTATAACTTTGTAAGTTTGTAAAATTTGTAATTCGTCACAAAATGATTACACTCTTTTTTTCCTTGCCAAGTTTTTATCCCAATTAGGTTTTTCTTGGTAAGGTTTTTAACGAGGCAATCATGAATTACAAATTTAAAAATTAATAAAAAAATAAATTTTTTATATAGTTCGTGTGTTCATTTCAAATTTTAAATTGTAATATATATATATATATATATCAAAATTTTAACACAAAATAACTTAATATTAAGAAAAAAATTCAAAAATTCGGTCTACTCGGGCGGGCTCGGGCTGCCTGGCCTAATCCAAGCCCGCGGCCCGTTCAAGGTAATTTTCGGGCTCGGGCGGGTCGGGTTCAGGCTCGGGCAAAAACTCAGTATTTTCAGACAGTCGCAGGCGGCCCGTCCAATGTTCCAGTACTAGTTCCTACGAGTTCCACATTCTAATGATAATATAAAAGGCATATCATTTCAACTTTTTTTTATTAAAAAAAAAAAAACTCATACTCTTGTGCTTAGTAGGTGTGAAAAGCATAAAGAAAGAACATCTTTATATTGTTAAAAGTGGTCTGAAAAGTTGAACTTGAATGAGGGTTAAACTATAAGTTGTAGAGTTTAAACTCAATTTGAACGGAAAATATAATTCGTACTACATATTTATTAAATACGTGTTTAGACTGTACTCTTTGTTTGAACTTAGCAAAACCATTGGAACAAATGAAGCTAAATTTTGTAATTCGTCACAAAATGATTGCACTCTTATTTTGTTTTTTTTTTTTGGAGGATTTTTTTATATTTTTTAATCCTGATAAAACAAAGTTGTTTCTTTGTTTATCCTTTCTCTCTTTTTTGGTTAAAAATTAAAAATTATTTAAACAAATTTAGAAAGATTTTTTTTTGACTTTTTTAAGTACATCAGGATAAGTTAAGTAATAAGAAAGAAGATATTTAGCAAAAATAATAAAGAAAATATTAACATTTTTGGTGGAAAAATGTAAAATACAAAGCATATACGTAATTAGGTTTTTTTTTTTTTTGATAGTGCACATTAGTTTTTGTTTAGTATCCTATTAGGAGAGTGACTTCCTTTTTTTTCGTTTTAATTTTCTTTCTGGATGAAAGTTTTTTATTTTTTATTTCTGGAAGCAAATCTGGAAAGTATTCAATTACAATTCGACTTCTTTTCCGATTCAGATTGTGATTGTTCATTAATAAACACTAATAATGTGGCACTTAAAACAACCAACGCCAGTGCGTTTGTTTCCTTTCTTGACTCTTCTTGTGAGTTAGTGATCGCTTTAGTGTTGGCCTTCTTCGTTTTTTCTTTGGTCTTGCTTTCTTCCTCCACAAGGTAACTAAGTTTATCGTTTTTTTTTTTTTTTTTTTTTTTCACTGAGTCGTAAGCTTGATTATCGATTAAAAGTGAACCTATTTGTAATACTATTGCTAAATTAATCTTAATTTCTTATCAAAATACAGAGAGAAAAGGCAAAGAATATTTGTTTAGAACATATTGATTGATTAGATTTTTGTTGTAATTAATTACTAAATTTGGCTTATATAATTAATACAGGCAATATGGTTTCATCCTCTCCCAAGAGTACTAGTGCTGGAACCTGCCTTCCCTTCATCTCACGCAAGCCAAGAATGCGCGTGATATTGCCCTCCCAATTTCAACCTTTCAAGTTTTCTGATGATGATCTTGTCGAATATGACTCTGATTTCGAAGCACACTTGGATGATGATGTTGCTGATAATCAGAATGCTGGTGATGATCATATGGGGAATGATGATGATGATGATTTTGATGATCAAGCTTGTAGATGATAGTGACAATATCTCCGAGATAGATATTGCTAATGATGATTCAAAGGAATATTTGTCTCTAGAAACTTCCGAACCGAATTATATTCAAGTTGACGATCAGCTTACTGATGTTGATGAGGAAGAAATAGCTATGGAAGAGATTGTCCCTGATGATGAGAATGATTGTGATAATCCTACTATTATTCTAGATGATGATACTTCTGAGAAAGAAGAAAGTACTGCAAGCAATGATGCCATTGTTCCTCTCATGAAATGCAAGCCGAGAATGCGCGTAATGCCGCCGAGTCGATTTGAAACCTTCGGGTTTACAGTAACGGAAGCCGATGATCAGGTGGACGAGGCTGATTTCGACGACGGCGACGACGACGATGATAGATCTGACACCATGGATGTTGATGAAGATTTTCAAGATGATTATATAATTCTCTCTGATGATGATGATGATTATGATGGAGTGGATGATGATGGCTATCTCTCGGATTCGTCTCTAAGAAGTACTGCAACTCAGCTGCATAAATCCCCTCTTTAAGTGAAGATCCCTTGTTAATTTTTCGACCAAAAATGTGTTGGTCCTGCCACAATTGCAAAACGTGATTGGAGAACTCCGAACGCACGTTCTACGTCTTTTATACACCTTTCTTGTTTCGTGGCAAAATACTTTTTCTTCCGACTGCGTGGCTTGTGAATAGTTTGCACAATATTAGACCATTTTGGGTATATACTATCAATTAAATAATAACCCATGTTATATTCTTTTAGTATTATGTAATTTTAATTTTAATGTTGGTATAAATGTTTGACGTTTTTCATTATGTAATTGCAGTTTGTATTATTTACCTATTAATTTTTCTCAGTATTAAATTAACCATACAACAAAATTAACAATGTGAGATGCAAAAAAACGTTTTTTTGGGTTTGTTCGGTTATATTTTTGAGTTATATTGATTTGAGTGTTGATTTTGAGTTGAATTTGAGTTATAACTTGAGTCAAAGTTGTAATTTGAGTTTGTATTTGGATGCGCACATTTGAGTTATGATTTGAATTGAGAATCCATTTGAGTTTGTGTTTGGGTGAGTCAAAACTTGAATTTGTATTTAGATAGTATTTTAATAAAAACTCAATGGTGATAAAAAATTTTAATAGAGTATATGGATGGGGTTTTATTCGTCTTTCGTTGTGAACGCATAAAAAAATCATCTCAATCGGAATTTAAACGAAAAAATTATGGCGTTTTTAAGAATAAAAAAAATATTATTATTCATTAACTTGAGTTTGAGTATAGAAACTTGAGTTGAATGGGGAATTTGAACTTATTTTAGCCTAAACTCAAGTTAAAACTCGAGTTAAAACTCAAATTCAAACTCAAATTAAAAAAAAAAAAAAAAAAAAAAAAAAAAAAAAAAAAAAATAATTCAATTCAAACTTTTTTGTGTTTTGGTTCAAAAGAACAAGCCCTTCATTTTTGGGTAGCAACAAAAAAGTTGGTTGAAAAATAAGAAATTGGGGAATAATAGAAAATAAATATTCTTTTTTACTTCTCCTTTTGCAAATTAAAAAAAAAAAGCAAAAGAAAAAAAAATAAAATGATACACCATTTGGTGTGGGGATGAACAATAGAAACTCAATTTGAGTTTCCACTATCCATCCCAGCCACCTGCACACCAAAATGCAGTGAAAGCTGCCGCTCGGTTGGAGCCATCAACCCACACTATGGATATCATTTTGGCGTGGGTTGGAGACGGTCTCAATAAAATAGGGGAGTTTTTTTTATAAGATTAGAAAAAATAAACTTTAATTAATGCTCTATTTTTTAACTGTATTATAAATTATTTATTTTATATATTTTTTTAATTTATTATAATTTTAATTAAATCGTATGGTGGCCTAGAGAATGTCTCCTAAAATAAAATTTATTTGAGTTATTTCTATGTTTTTTTTAAAAAAATCCAATATTTCTAATCTTCTAATAATTTCTGTGAAAGATTTTACACTTTATTTGTTTTTTTTCCTTTAATTTAGGGCCTATTCAGTTTGTTAATTTGAATTTTTAATTTAAATTGAGATGTGATGTTGTGTGAGAACTTTTTATTGTAGTAAAAAAATTAGATATGATTGTTTCTGAGAGCTTTTTACTGTAGCAAAACTCGAATCAGCAAAAAGATTTTACGCTTTATTTGTTTTTTTTCCTTTAATAAAGGGCCCGTTCGGTTCGTTAATTTGAGTTGAGATGTGATGTTGTGTGAGAGCTTTTTATTATAGTAAAAAAATTAAATGTGACTATTTTTAAGAATTTTTACTGTAATAAAACTTAAATTTTAAACTCGAATCAGAACGGACTTATTTTCTCACCTGCCCGTTCAAATAGATCAAACACGTAGCAATTGAGTCTGTAGTGGATTCTTGAGTCTTGACCAGACAGACAGTCGACACCGATTTCTCAGGTACGTCTCTCTCTCTCTCGTTCCTTTCTCTCTACCTGGTACTTGATCTCATTTTCTCTGCAACTACCAATTATCGTTCCTTAAACCCTAATTCCATGTGCTAAAATTGAGGACTTTTCTTAAACGCTGCTTGATCCAATGATCTGACTTGAATTCCATGCTTATGGATTGCTACTGATAAATTCCAGTTCCACGTGTGAAAAATCTTAATGGGTTTTGCTTTTTAGACCTAAATTCGATGGTTTCTGCGTAAAGATCGTGCTTTTTGTTATAGCTCCCCCCCC